ACTTCCTAATGCTGCTGAATTTCAGCAAAGAGTAACACAGTCAAAACTAATTTGGGGCTGGTTGTGGTGGCTCACGCCTATAATCCCAGGACTTTGGGAGGCTGAGGTGGGAGGATTGCTTAAGGCCAGGAGTTTGAGACCAGCCTGGGCAACATAGCAAGACCTTGTCTCTATTTTTTGGGGGGGGAGATCAATTTGGATTTGGTCATTATTGTGAGTCCATTGTCCAGACTAGACTGTTTTTCCTATGCCTTGTACTATTTGCTTCCAGGTCTCAAAAGGGTTGGTACAAAGCTGTAGCTCTACCCATTTTTTTTGCATGTTTTGACATTATTTTCATCTTTCTAGTTTCTCTGTCAATTTAGAAATATATCTCCGGTTATTTTTTAATAGGAAATACATTCAATCATTCAAATTCAAAAGACATAATAGAGTAAACAATAAAATGTCTCCCTCCTATCCCTGCTCCCAGTTCTTACCTCCAAAACAAACAATGCCTTGCTATCAAGTTCTTGCATTTACTTTCAGAAATAATTTACACATATATAAGCAAATATTTATTTTTTGTTTCACTCAAAGGGTAGTACATCGAAGGAATATTGCTCTGCCTCTTTCTTTTTCATTTAATTTTTGTTGGGAAAAAATTCTATATTGGTATATGTTAATGGCTGATACCTACAGCTTTTAATTCTTCAGATAATAGTGAAATTTATCCTGAGACACCCCCAAACCACCACCACCACCACTGGCCTGAGTACCTAAGAGGTCAAATTTTCTTTCCATGAATTCTAAAATAGGCACTATGAAAAAGCACCATTTGTCAAGAAAGTCCTTTTTGTCTGAAATTACACGTTTCAATTTCCCCATAGGCATTTGATTCACATAAAGAACACAGACTCACATAAAGAACACAGACTCCTTTGGGAGGCTGAGGTGAGTGGATTGCCTGAGCCCTCGGGTTCGAGACCCGCCTGGGCAGTGAGACCTCATCTCTACAATAAAATCAAAAAATCAGCCGGGCGTGGTAGCGCATGCCTATAATTCCGGCTACTTGGAAGGCTGAGGTGGAAGGATCGCCGGAGCCCAGCAGGTCGAGGCTGCGATGGCCGGGAGCGGCCACTGCACTCCAGTCTGGGCGACAGAGTGAGACTCCAACTCAAAAAAAAAAAAAAAAAACACACAGATTTACGGGCTTGTTGCTATCACGAGGTTATAGCCGTGTATATATAGTTCACATCTAGCTACCCCAGTTTGCTTACAAGAGAGTTCACAAACAGGGGCCAGGAGATTTTTTTAAAAGCAATTAAAAATACAGATTCTAACACCAACAAAAGCACCATCAGTTTTAAGCTGAAGCTAATTTGCTAAATCCTAAACTGCACTTCAATTTTTAAAAAGATTTTTCATCCCAAGGGAACCATTTTGAACTAATACTTCACATTTTCTAAAACTGCTGGGTTGAACAAAAATGGAACAAATAAGTTACCTCATCACACATGTTCTACACCAATATTTTATTTAATCCAAGGCATGGTCGCTGAAAAAAACCACTCAGAGGCACTAAATTCAACATCCCAGAGCGATGCACTGATCACCATCTTAAAATGTCTACATGTAATGGGAGGTCAGGGCTGAGATACTGATCACCAAGTGGGCTGTCCCTCTTTGTCGTGGGCCTCAGGCACATATTATTAAAGTGTGAAAGAACAATTCAATAAATTCTTATAAATTTAATAAGTTTGCTATTAATTTGTGAATAAAAGCAAATTCTTGTTTTCTTGGAGAAATGAGCAAAAAAATCCCCCCCCCAACCAAACCAAATTCTGAGCTGTCTTCCTCAGGTATTTCTGGTTAAGACCTATGGGACAACTTCCCGAACATATTGGTACTTAGCTCTTGGGGACCAAAGGGGAGACACTGAACAAGAATTATCTCCAGAGAGCTGAGCCTCTTCCACCCTAATGAGAGGAGTTTTATGAGTCTATGAAGCAGTGGAGAATTGGGCTTCTAGGAGGAATATGAAAGGACACCATGCTACAGTCCCATGAGGCAGAAAGCTGGAATGGCATTTGGTCCTGTGACCAAGCTGGACAGGGTAGGCAGAAGGGGAAGAAGCTAGGGCTGAAGCAGGGGCCCCTGCCTTGCCTGGGACCCAAGGGACTTCATTTTCCATAGCACAGCTGACACTTAGTACTTAAATCCTTCAACTCCTCCCTTCTCCCATAACCACAGGGATCTTTATTGTGTCCCTACTCAGTCATGCCTTGGGCTCCAGGCTTCTCACTTGCCATTCAATCCTCACAATATGGCATGAAGGGGATTCTACAGTCAGCACTCCATATCCCGGGGCTCCACATTCACAGATTCAACCAACACAGAATAAAAAACATTTAAAAAAAATTAACAATAAAAAATACAAATCAGAATACAGCATATCAACTATTTACATAGACTTTATATTGTGTTAGGCATTATAAGTAATCTAGAAATGACTTAGAGTACATGGGAGGATGTACATAGGTTATATGCAAATACCACACCATTTTATATGTCTTGAGCATTCATGAATTTTGGTATCCGCAGGAAGTAGGGGGTGTGGTGGGATGGGATTGGGGGTGTCCTGGAACCAACCCCTTACAGATACTGAAGGATGATCGTATATCCCATTACAGATGAGATAACTGGGTCAGACAGGTTAAGTGATTAGCCCAAGGTCACACAAATGTCCAGGAACACAGCTGTCATTTATTAAGTACCTACTTCTGGGATATTTATCACCTTCTGCTTTTGTTATTTAAAGAGAGAGTATTGCAAAAGTAGTTCAGGACTTTACATGGTGGTTAATCTAATACCCTTAATAATTCAATAAAATATAAGTAGGTCTACCGTACAATGAAGGCAATTGAGGCGCAGAGATGAGTTAGTTGAGTGGCCTGAGGTCACAGAATGGAGTAATTAGGATGTGACTCAGGTCTCTGGCTCCAGAGCATTGCCTTTTTCGCTGATACGCTGGGTCAGCTCACAGAGCCCGACTCAGCCATTACGTCCTGAGAACCATTCCTGGAGTAACTGAAAATGTAAACCACTGGGAAAATAAGGTCTGGTGCATCTGGCCACTCCGAACTTAGAGATCACCTCCAGGGTAGGCTGGTGGGACACACAACAGTGAAATGTCATACACCTTGAGTGTTCAGCCCCTGTGAGGGTGGCTTCACGTGGACAATCGGTCTTGCCTCAGTGCACTTCTGGAACAAATCATCCAAAGAAGTTGAACTGGCCTTTAAGTCAGGCGGGCCAGTGTGGCAGTTTGGGAAGCTCCATCTTTGGCATAGGAATGATGGATTTGGGACATCCTGGGATCAGGGTCAAGCAGAGAAGACTTGTGATCCTTGGGAAGGCTGTAGCTGGGACCTACTCCCAGATTAACTGACCTCCCCACCCCGTGCTCAGAGGCCTGGGATAGGGGTACACAGGTCTGATTTCCACTGCTGGGTTTTTCTGGGTTCCCGCCTCCGGATCCCTCTCACAGCAACATTCTTCTATGTTCTGCTTCGAGTCTACACCTCCACTTCTTACACTCAGGGAAGTCTCTGTTGCTCCCACCTGAGACCCAGAGGCACTCATGGCTCACCTCAACTCTGACCAACTGTGGTTCTGGTGGTACTGCCTAGGCCACTCTTATGGCAACCAGATTGTGTTTGTATCTGCATAGAGGTGAAAGCTGGAGAGAAGGTGAAACAGTTTTGGACCTTTTCCCTTTCTACCTTCACAACAATATTGGAAGGTCACATTTGGCACAAGTATCAGTCTATGTAAGACTGTCGTCAGCCTTTCTGTTATGACACCAAGCAGAGCAGCATGGATTCTAATCTCTCCTAGAAGGAACGGGAACAAGATTTTGAGAGATTCCCTTTGCACCTTTGTGCCGCATGCCTAGTGGATGTTAGAATCCCTACCAATCCAGCAGTGGGAGCCTGGGGAGATGGCAAGGATTGCTGAAAAGCAGGGAGATGGCGTCCAGTGTTTTCCAGTTTAGAAAAAATAGAGCCAGATCCCAATTTGAATGTCAGCTCCATCATTTAGTCTAGGTGATCTTGGGCAAAAGATACTAGACCTCTTAACCATGAGTGCCTCTGGGTCTCAGGTGGGAGCAACAGAGACTTCCCTGAGTGTAAGAAGTGGAGGTGTAGATTGAAGCAGAATATAGAAGAATGCTGCTTTTTGACTCATCTACAAACTGGATATAGAATCTTCTTCTTCGGTCTGTTGTGAGGATTATCAGAGAAAACTCATATTAAGAGGCACCAACCATTTCCTTTCTTCCCTTGCATACTTTTTAAGTAAAACTCTCCTTCTCATAGTCTCCCCAAATCACGGGCAATTTGTCCAGGTGTCCACCACTGGTGTAAGCATATTTGTGAACTAGCATGGCTTGGCCATTTTAGACATTACAAGATGCTAAGAAAGCCAGGCCAGACGGGGAAAAAAAAAAAAGGAATAAAACAGACCTTAAAGATAAGCAGAAGCCAGATTACAGAGCCCACAAAGAGGGCAAGCTTAATTCCAGATGGGACTTTGGCCCCTGGTGGGATTCACCAGGTCCCTGTATCAACTATATTTTGGCTTAGGTAGGTCTGAGTGGCCTGCTTCTGGCAGCCAACAGAGATAGGATGTGAAGGGCTTTACTTAAGCAGCTACTATTTCTCAGGTGTTGGACTCATGGTAGCTATTATTTCAAAGTATCTCACTCACAACCCACTGCTGTATGCTTGAATCCTGATGTTACTAACATAGATACTCCACAGGACTATGAATGACTTATGGCTTTAAATTACTAAAATGAGCTATAGAGTTTCATGAACAATTTACATGGCAACTACAGATGGAAGCTTAAGACAGAGAACATGCTCTATTTTTCTGTGTGTAAGTCTTCACATTTAAATAAATACCTCCTTGACAAATGGGGAAAAAATAATTATGATATTCCATTGAAGCTGAGAAATAAAGCAACCTTTGTTTATTTTTTAAAAGGTAAACATGGCTGATCTGCACTAATCATAACATTTTGAAGGAAATAAAACAATATTCAACATGTCTAGTCTATAAATAAATAATACCCTGTTTTACTTATTCTGTTAACCAAAGATAAAGTTGGAAATGAGAAAACAGAATAATGCTTACGGATTTAAAGGTATCAGACGTGGTATCTGATTCTGAGAAAATGAAGACATAAATGGGAAAATGACTATAGCAATAAACGTAGTAAAGAATAACACTTAAGGGTTTATACATAAGCTTTACATGCTTGACTTGACAGACTAAAACATTTTTCAAGTCCTTAATTAAGAGAACAGCAGCAAAATTTAAGACAATTAAAAATCAGCATTTAAGAATCTGCTGTATTGTTATAAACACAAAACAACTGTATCAGTGAAGCCGAAGAAAACCCCAATTACTATACTATTCTAGCCAACGTGCACTGGCTCCATGTATCATTTTCAAATGTGTTGCCTCACCCTGGGTGTGAGCCACGTGTAGCTTCAGATGCAAACTGGAAGGGTGATGGGTTACAATGCAGGGCGTAGAACCAGTCCCACTGCATTATAGTAACAGCACATCAACAACTCTGTCTGTAATTAAAATAGTAAAACCAGGCTCAAGTGCACACCCTCATGTTATGAACACATATCAGAATTACAAGTTACAGAAATAAAGACAAATAATGGTATGAAGGGCATGATAGTTTATTTTTAAAAACTGTACCACACTGATCATGATGACCAGTATATACATGATAATGGCTTTTCTCTTGGGTATTAACATTGCAGTATTTTTATATACTGAAATGTTTCAATAGGACCAAGAACGTTAAAGAATAAAGATCTTAGATGAAAATGAACACTAATAATTCTGGTGTCTTCCCCCATAGACTTAATTTAAACCCCTTATGAATCAGTGGCATTATAACATGATGTAGTTATGAAGAATGGAAGTTCTCTTTGAAGTAGGCAGCATGAACTTATGCTTCCTTGTACTTTCATCTTTCGTTTTCATAATTTAAGCTACGTCGTCCACCCTGGCTAAAGCACAATCATACAAGACACCTCAGATAATTTCCATGCTACCATTGCACAAGTTTAGTGATTTTACTTAAAAAAAAAAAAAATCAAACCACCATCAAAATAAAGAGGCAAATAAAAGTGACTTTCAAATCATTTGAAAAGCATAGTGCTCATCTGTCTGATAAAGATTCAAACAAATTAATACTACAGTTATAATTTCCAAACTTCTGTGATAAAATTAACATTTATATATACTAGATGGATTTTGTATATAGAACTGTATTTTGCAATCAACAATAGAAAGTTTTAGAAAACAATATAGTTGTTTACAGTTCCACATATCTGTAGTAAAGACAAAGCCACATGATGTTAAATCTGGCTCTAAGTAACCTAAGTTACAAAATTTTGACCAAATATCAAAATTATCATCATCTGATCTTAAAAAATTCAAACCATATGAGATTACTTTTGAGAGAGTAAATGTGCTATTGAGTAATTATTCCAATAACCTTTTCTTTTCATGATTCTCTGCAAACTGACCCTTTTCTTTAATCCTTGTGACTCACCAATATTTCAAACTGACCTCTTTTCTTCCGTGTTACCATTTCAGTACCCAGGGATTTCTGAGGCAGCATAAGTTTACTTCATAAAAACAGTAGATACCTTAACCTTTCAGTGACAGTTTTTACATCTGTAAACTCAATAATCACATTATTTAGATCAGCAACTATAAAAACATTGAGATTTTAGCACTACAAGCCAGAATCTCTTTGTGCTTTCTAAGTTAAGCTGCTTTTGAATCTTTTTGGTATTTATCAGCCATTTGTATTTCCCTTATAATAATAAAAGAAGATATTTAAAATAATTTTTAAGGTTAAATGTCCGGGGGCGGGGCTTATCGATACTTTTTCTTAAAAAAAAAAAAAAAAACACAGTATAAATCAATTTTTTTTTCCTTCATTATTTGGAATAGTAGAAATTATTTCTGGTCCCTCCTTTGATCAACCAACACCACATTTCATCACGTATAACACTGAAATTTACAGACATCCCTGAAAAGTTTTTAAGTAAACGAGTGAATCACAGTGGAGTCTCAATCAGTTAACAGTGTAGATCCATTAAAAATAATTGAATATTAAAAGAAAATCTTCAAGCCAAAAAAAACCCCGAAAAACAAACAAACAAAAAGCCCTCCTAAGAACTAAAACCGAGTGTGTTGTCACTGATTCTGTACTTTTATCCCCTGATTGATTAGACTCCTCCTTCTCCATGTTGTAAGACGTGTTTGCTGAAATCTTCACGCCAAGTTTTCAGGACCCCTGCGTGAAGAGGCTATGCTAACTGTCTCATGTAAGGGAATATAGTGGCACCATTTCTTCCCCAACAGACTTCATACCTAAAAATAAGCATTGAGTCTCACTCCTCTGTATTCACCAGCATCTTATCAGGAGACAATACTTGCTGTGCAAATTGATGACAGCTGAACTTCCCCTCCACTCCCCTTCCACTGCCAATATGAGGTTATCATCAGTTTGTCATTATATGCACTGGCCTTTCACTCTTTCAATCAGAAAAACTGTGGCTTACTTAAAAAGGGAGAGGTGGGGAGAAATGAAAAACCAAGAGTCTAAAGGCACAAAGTCGCATAGCTGCTCTAGTTGGAATTTGTAAACAGAGAATAGGTTGAATTTAGGTAATCCCAATCTATAAGAGTAAAAAGGCATCCACGGCAGGCTTTTGACCAGCCAGCTTCTTTGAGACCCTTCATGGGTTTTGAGGTCTACAAAGTATACACTAAAATACCCATACTTCAAAAAGCAATAAGGCAAATAGTATAATCATTATTCCAAAAGTTACAATGGTAGTGTAGGCATACATAGTATAATTTAGTTACAATGTGTGGTACTGTTTCTATTATATAACCATATTAACTGTTTATTTCCTACATAATTATATATTCAGCTGGGTTTCAGTTGAACACAAAACCATCCTTGTACCACCACTGATAGTTGGCAATAGCTCTTTGATAGCAGTTTTTATTCTGCTGTAGAAATTATCCTTAAACTGGAAAAAGTCCATGATCCAATGTCCAGTCATTAAACACTATCATATTTGTGAAGAGCTTCTTCCAACTTCTGGGTCACTTTTTGGAAAAATATTATTTGTTGTTGTAAGAAATGCTGCATCTGTGATTTAAAGTCTCTTACTCGAATTTGATGGAAGTGGTGAATTTCAGCCAAAGTGGCAAAAGAAATAGTGTTACAGCGATCCTGAATACCATCAGCCTTCTGCAATTCCATCTTCCCTTCCTCCACGTGTCGTCTACTCTCCTTCACTTTGGTAAGAGCTCCTGCAGTTAAAAATAACGGTTATTAAAAACATATAGCCACATATCCAAAGACATATCTACACATTAAACAGAATCTTGTACATGACAGTTGTCCAACTACTTTCAATTCTTTTGGAATTTATAGTGATGACTATAATTATTCATTAAAAAAAGAGGAATCTGGTAGTTTCTGAAAACATTCATATTGCTAACATTTCTCTTCAAAAACGAGTATTTGCCATATTGGCCGAGTATTTGTAGTATTTCTCATCTCTTTAAGGTAGATAATGCTATACACAACAGATAATAAATGGCAAGAAACTGGTCTTAAAAAGACAAAGATGAAACTGCAGTTTTCACATGCTAACAGGTATGACAGACACCATTATATCCACATATACTAAAAAATCATGCTGTATATAAATACAACACCCCATAAAGGAAGCAAACCCACTTCCTCAGAAGGTCTCACTGAAGTATTATTGAGTGAGACTCCAGAACCAGTCTCTGAAACAAGTTAGTAAGAATTCAGGTTATGCTTTGGAATCATACCACAGTTATGGAGGGTACTTGGCAATACCGCCAGTCTACAGCTGGAGGTTGCTCTCATGAAGGCTGGCCAAGCCCGTCTTGCCATCCAAAGTAAATGCCCAGCTTAAGTGTCACACAGAGTGCCTGATGAAGGGGTGAATAAAGCATGCATGCTTTATGTGGCACTGACTCCACCAAGCCAGGAGACCCACCCCTGGAGTACAAGAGCCTCAAGCAGTAAGAGTTTGCCACTTCTTCTTTAGAGACTAGAAGGATCAGTGAATGTTGTCTGCCCTAATGATGACTTGGAAATGATGCCAGAGGTGCCATAACCTCTTGTCAACTAGTATCACCAGAGGGTGCTGCAGGGGTTGGGGTGGAGGATCAGCCCCTCTGGCAGGTGCCACACGAGGGCAGTCCCTCCCCCAGAAGCAGTTACAAGAACACATAAAAGTCTGAGGATGCTCAGGAGTAACAAAGACAGCATATTCTTGGGTTTCAGGAATTAGTAATGATCAAGCTCAACTCACGTGAACAAAGCTACCTTAAGAATTCAGATTTCTGCCAGGCTCGGTGGCTCAGCCTGTAATCCCGTGCCTTTGGGAGGCTGAGGTGAGTGGATTGCTGAGCCCGCGGGTTCGAGACCCACCTGGGCAACTTGGCGAGACCTCATCTCTACAATAAATCAAAAAATTAGCCGGGCGTGGCAGCGCGTGCCTGTAGTTACAGCTACTTGGAAGGCTGAGGCGAAAGGATCGCCGAAACCCAGCAGGTCGAGGCTCCCGGCCACCGCACTCCAGTCTGGGTGACAGAGTGAAACTCCAACTCAAAAAAAAAAAAGAATTCAGATTTCTTAAGATTCTACCTAGCATTCATTCCACTAAGTCATGCTAAAAGACAAGGCAAGACAGAGAGAGAAACCTGAGGAGAGAGGACCTGGCTTGGCAGTCTGAAAACATGGTACTGCTGAGGGGAAACCTGGCAGACTGTGTGGGAGAGGTAGGAAAGCTGAGAGACTTTGCTTCAGAAATATCCTGTTTTACTTAATGGGGAAACATATAAGGGAAGATGCCCTATTTCTAAATTTCTGCAAACCTCTCACAAAAAATACAGTATAAACTTAGTATTAAATAAGACCCTTAAAACGATATATTTTACCCAGCTCAAGGACATGAGAAATGAAAAACCACCAACAAAGTTTATACATACTTGCATGTAAATGTAGGTACGCACATACCCACACATTTATTTTCATGTATTTATTATTCTAAATGACATCTTTATGTGAAAAGCAGCAGAACCCTGGAACAGGAAGCACACACGGGACCAGTGCATGGGACACCATGCCACACACCACTTCCACTTAACCCCATGGCACAGAAGGGCACACTGTTGAAAGGGAAGGCCCTGCCCACTTTCACTAAGAGGCCGAGGATCTGAAAGCATGGTGCTCCTAACATTTCTACTATGGCTGACAATACCAGTGAGGCACTACAATTTGCCTGCTTGTAGTTGGTATTAAAAAAAGAAAAAAGAAAAGACCTCTCCCTACCAGAAAGAAAAAAAACATTATTATAAAACGTTTATTTTTGTTATATTTGTATAGGTTTCACACTTTATATACAGAAATTGAGGTTGAAAAGGCCAAGAGAGTGTAGGAGGTAGAAGTAAAGGGGAAAAAAAAGTCAAAAAGGTGACTGAGAATGTGAAATAAAATACATGCTTAAAAATGGGTAAAAGAGAACAGGAAATTAAAACGGAAAAATCAAATGTGATCTGACAATCTTTTCATTGGATTTTGATCCAAAGTACCGGAGGACACCATACCCAATGTTCAAGCACTGAGGACACACACAGATTCTGACATATCTGTGTTACAGTTATTGCCTGTATTGGTAATAATCTGCAAGTATCACTTGTTCTAGTTATTAGAGGTTGACATTTTACCACAGAGAATAGAGTCCAGGACAGAGAAGATTGGAAACCTGGCCCAGAGCTGTGTGAAAGTCAACTGAGCTGCAGTTTGTCGAACTCCAAATTAGTTCACCATTATTTTTGGAAACTACACTCTATTATGTAGAATTGCAGATGTGCATCTGTAACAACCAATTTAAAAATGAACAAGTCTGAAGTTTTCACAACTTGCCACATCAGTATCCATTTTTCAAAACTCTTGGATACAGAAACAGGTATTAAAATTCTCTGAGGCCTGAGGATCTTTTGGCATTTGATACTTTAAGCTAAGTATATATACTGCAGGAGCCAGGGAGAATTTAACATTCATATCCCTCTCAAGTATGAATTTATTAAATAAATAACACAAAATGTTGCCATTTTTAAAGCCCCCAAAAGGTTGGGCTCTGAGGCAAGAATCTCAATGTTAATATTTATGAAGGGCCTAACATGTATAGAATACAACTGACAGAATGGCCCTGAGCATTCTAGTCCCCACCCTCTCTAAGTTCAGTAGGAAGCAACACTGCAAACCACACTCAGGACAGACTTACCACCCCAACACACTGTGAAATAGGACCACAGAGATGTAATTCTGCATGGGGGTTGACCATGGCTTTCTCTAAGATATCATGTGAATCGTGTCACAACAGAAAATGTTCGGGACCTGCTACACGCCAAGTACCATGCAAAGAACGACAGCAGGGGTGGTGGGCAGGGAATGGAATCATATGGAAATAAATGGTAGCTGCCAAAAATAGTAGTAGCATAAGCAAGGCACTTTCCATGTACCATCTCTTATCTTCCTACAACCTGACAAGACATTACTCCTATTTTTTCTACAGGGAAATTAAGGAAGTTACCTAACACTTTGAGCCCGACAGACAAAAAGATCTCATTGAGAATAATAAACACATGAAAATAAGTGTGTGGGTATGTGCATACCTACACATACATGCACTGGAATCTGAATGCGTAACTGGCTTCAAAGCAAATGCTACAAATATTTTTAAAAGAAAGGGGTGTGCCGGGCTCGGTGGCTCAGCCTGTAATCCCGCGCCTTTGGGAGGCTGAGGTGAGTGGATTGCCTGAGCCCACGGGTTCGAGACCCGCTCTGGGCAGTGAGACCTCATCTCTACAATAAATCAAAAAATCAGCCAGGCATGGTAGCCCATGCCTGTAATTCCAGCTACTCGGAAGGCTGAGGTGGAAGGATCACCGGAGCCCAGCATGTCGAGGGAGCAGCCACTGCACTCCAGTCTGGGTGACAGTGAGACTCCAACTCAATAAATAAATAAATAAATAAAGTAAAAGAAAGGGGTGCCTGAGCAGACTAGCAAGCGAGGCAGGCCCAATGACAACAGGGTGCTGGGGGTATGAGGCCTGGGTAGCTGTGGCCGGGGTCTCCCTGCTCCCACTGGCACCTGTGTAGTGCTCTGGGCCACTGCCTCCTTTCTCACCTTCCCTGCATGGACCCTGGCTTTTGTTTTAACAGGTAATTCTGAAGACATGGTGGGTGTGTACAAGAAACTATTTAGGGTTTGAAAATTTCCCTCTGGGTTCTTACTAATCTCATTCAATTCCCTCACTGTGCCTGTAAAACCTTGAATATTTATAAGATGTCTGATTTTCTTATCTTTGTAACAACAGAATTAGGGTGCCACAAAACAAAGGACTGAAAAAGCAGCACAGCTTTCATTATTTTGAAAATCGAAGCCCTAACTCAGATTGAGGGATAGAACTCCTTTTTCCTTCTTTTCTTTCCTTCCTTCTTTCCCATCTACCTGTTTAGATCTGAATGGAAGATGATATGAATAGAGAACTACTACCAAAAATATTAACATAGAATCCCTTTAGAAATACATGAGCTTTGTTTGCTTTGGTGCAGTTAGACATTTTAGGAAAAAAAAAAAAAATCACCTTATTTTGCAAGCTAGGAAGGACAGAACAAACCCAAAAACACTTCCACTTGGAATTCTAGTTTAAACCCCTTAATGCAATTCAAATCCCTTAACATGATGTGTCAGGATTGCAGGAGGAGGAAGATGAGGATGAGGCAAGTGTTAAAAATAAAAAACAGACATGGCTTCTGTTTAAGGGACTCAAATTATTTTCTGAGGTGACAAGGAATACATGCCTAAAATAATTAAAGATCTACATAAAACAGTAAATGAAGGTATTAAATAGCATACTATAAATGTACAAACTCATAGAATAGTGAGAGCGATGTATAATCAAAGAAGACAATGCCTCCACAAAATTGTACCCATTTTTTTTTTTTTTTTTTTTTGAGTTGGAGTCTCACACTGTCGCCCAGACTGGAGTGCAGTGACCGTTCCCAGCCACCGCAGCCTCGACCTGCTGGGCTCCGGTGATCCTTCTGCCTCAGCCTCCAAGTAGCTGGAACTACAGGCGCACGCTACCACACCCGGCTAATTTTTTGATTTTATTGTACAGATGAGGTCTCACCAAATTGCCCAGGTGGGTCTCGAACCCGCGGGCTCAGGCAATCCACTCACCTCGGCCTCCCAAAGCGC